TTGCGGGGCGGCCCCGGTGCTGCGCTCCCGCCGCGGGGAGCCGTGCCCGCCAGCCCCAACCCCGTTCCGCTCCCAGCTCGTCTCCGTGTTCCGCAGGCGCCGTGACAGAAGTCAAAACGGACATCTACGTGACCAGCTTTGGGCCGGTGTCCGACGTGGAGATGGTAAGGGCCCCAGTTGCCGCCCCTGCACTCCTTTCCCGGGATTCATTACGGTGGCATCTGAGTTGACCGTCATTAAAGCAGATTACGAGGCTTAATCTTCTTGACAATCTGTACGGCCCAACAGTGCAGTTTGGTTGGAGCTGCGTAGAGCTGTTTCCCCAGCAGAGTCAGCCGGGGCAGCCCCTGGCCCAGGCCCGAGGCTGGGCACAGGGGGCAATGCTGGCCTCAAGTGTGGGCAGGCATGGGAGGTTAAAGATGCCTCTTTAACCTCGTTAAGAAGATTGTAAGCATCTGTGGCCCAACACATAGTTTTGCAGGAAGCCTGCATGGTAGGCAACAACCTAATGAGCAGCTGTACTGGAACAGTGTCATTTCTGAGACAGCTGGCCCCTGTCATGCTGGGTGTCCCCAAACTCAGGTAGCTGCAGACTTGGGTGAACTCTACCAACTACAGCAGCAGCCCCAGGAAAACATTAAGCCATCGGAGTGAGGCTGGCATTGCTGTTCTCATTCTGGAAATCTACTTTGATCACTGTTTTTGCCCTTGTATACTTCCTCCAATACCTGCTCACCTGAGCCTGCAGTCCAGTTTGCAGGCAAGGAACTGTGGGCCACAAGATACAACCAAAAGTTTTTCCACCTCTCTTCATCAGTCAACCTAAGAGAAGGCATAAGCTTGCCTTTTACATATTTGCCTCCAGACAAGGTTTAGCTCCATTTCCTAAGCAACTTCTGTAGGGAACTCCTTTCTGAAGGCTTGCAAGAGTATTACTAATAATCCTCAAGAAAAATAACATAGATTAGATTAATATTAACTTGACACCATAATCCTGCAGTGATGCAACTCACTCACATCAGTACTTTCTTTGTGAATATCCAAAGTAAGTTGCAGGAGACACACTGAGCATGATTTGTTCCTCACAATTAAACATTGATAGTTTGTTTTTGCACTTTGAAAGGATACTAAAGTAGACATCTATATTTCCTTAGACCTCAGTCACTTTGAATTAAATTATTATCTCTGAGAGGACAATGAGGGTTTTTTTTGCCTTACTCATATCAAATTATCTGTTCACTGATTAATTTGTAACTATTCTTTAAATAATAAGAAAATAGGATATTTTTTCATAGACTACTTTTTTTTAGTAACTACTCACTGTTAATAGGATTACATGTTTAAGCAGTAAATGAAATGCCATTGATGTGTGTTAGGTTTTTTCATGGAGTTACTGTGTGCACAGCAACTTGGGACCGCCGGCCCCCAAACATAAGTTATCCACCTATTTATTTTCCATAGGAATACACAATGGATGTCTTCTTTCGGCAGACATGGACTGATGAGAGGTTGAAGTTTAGTGGGCCAACTGAAATTTTGAGATTGAACAATTTAATGGTCAGTAAAATTTGGACACCAGACACATTTTTTAGAAATGGAAAAAAATCAATTGCTCATAATATGACAACTCCTAACAAACTTTTCAGAATTATGCAAAATGGAACTATTCTTTACACAATGAGGTGAGAGCCTATTCTGCTTTTGGTTGACCTTTATTTTTGATTCTTTCAGCAGTGTTCCTGCATACCATTTTTTTCATTGTGATCTACTATAATGTATTCTAGACTAACCATTAATGCCGATTGTCCTATGCGGTTGGTGAACTTCCCTATGGATGGACATGCTTGTCCATTGAAGTTTGGAAGCTGTAAGTTTTTCTGTATCTTTCATTTTTTTATAGTAATACATTTGTTCTACATATATGTGAGAAAATCAGAAGTGAGATCCTAGGACATTACTTAATGACATAGCTGACATTTTTTATTATATTTTTTATACTAGAATCTTAATTTCCCCGCTGACCTCAGACCATTCATAAGCACAGGGATTTGTTCACTGAAGGATGACTGTTGAAGCATATTTTATTTTTTATTATTCTTACACATCTAGTAGTCAAAGTGGGTCCATCAACAAGTCATAAAATCTGTGGTACCTTTATTATATTCTAGTTTTGCAAAATGAAAATATTTAGTCGATCTCTGATAGTCAATGTATGTGTTTTATAGCAAATTAAGAAACAAAAGCTAGTCCCTATCACGTCCCACCTCAACCATTCTCTTACTGTTGATTTTTTTGCATTTTGTCATTAATGAGGTTAGGAACTCGCTGGAGCAGGATGCATGTTTCTATGGATATTTGAGCCACAAAAGTGATCATGCTACTTATTTTTTCAATTGCTTATAAATTACATAATTAATAATAGTAATTTTTCGCTCTTTAACTCAGATGCCTATCCAAAAAGTGAAATAATTTATACATGGAAAAAAGGACCTCTGCATTCAGTAGAAGTTCCACAAGAGTCTTCCAGTCTTCTCCAGTATGACCTCATAGGACAAACTGTATCTAGTGAAACAATTAAATCTAGCACAGGTAAGATGTGGGAACTATTCACATTATAAAACACACCTTGAAAATAAATTACAGGTTTTTTTCCATATAGAACTGAATTAGTTTAATTATCTTTTGCCATTTTAAAAACTAAAATCCTTGGAAAGAATCTAACCATTGTCTCTTAAAAGACAGCTTTTCAATATGGTCCCTTTAAGCACACAATTTTTCATGCAATTCTTAAGAATTCCCCCTGCCTCCCTGCCCCAGTAAAAACAATACATCAAATGAACATTATTTTCTTCTCTTTCCGTAAGGTCACTTGGCCTTTTTTTAATCAGCTTATTTTTATTATGCAATAGGAGGCCTGCAAGTGCTTTCCTCAGAAAGGAAACCCTATGTTGGGTTTAAGCCAATAATGTTGACTCATATGTTGCCAAAATAATGCTGACATACTTGTCTCTTAACAGGTGATTATGCAATCATGACAGTTTACTTCCACTTGCAAAGGAAGATGGGCTACTTCATGATACAGATATATACTCCATGCATTATGACAGTCATTCTTTCTCAGGTGTCTTTCTGGATTAACAAGGAGTCTGTTCCAGCCAGAACAGTTTTTGGTATGCTGCATTAAGGTCTTTGAACAGCTCAGCATCACATATACCATTCATTCATTACTTTCATTGCTTGTTTGTTTTAGGCGAATATTCACTTCAGCTGCTCTATTTCCATCTTCAAAGGAAAATAGGCTACTACCTCATTCAGACATACATTCCATGCATCATGACTGTAGTCCTGTCTCAAGTTGTGTTTTGGATCAACAAAGAATCTGTTCCAGCAAGAACCGTGGCTGGTATTCATGTTTTGTTCTTTTATCATTCACTTCATTCACTGTATTGAATCCATTGTATCAAACAGCTCCTGAAATCCAGGGGGAATTAGAAAAGACAGCTAGTAGGTTTCAGTGAACAAAAGTAAATACTAAAATTAAAACAAATAATATTCAGTCTGCCCGTGAGGGTCAAAATTCTTTACTCAGAATGTTTGGTTAGCCAGACTTGTTTGTGATGGGTTTTTTCCCCATTTCTTTGTATGTAGGAAGGGACAAGTTCAGAGTAAATGTCAACCTGTCCATTTTTTAAAGAGGAATTTTTCTATTGATTTATTCTCTTGTGAAAACAATCTGAGTTAAAGGTTTTTACAAAAAAAATCACATGGACTGGAATTAATCTCGTCTGACATAAGGTACCTCATCTAACACTCATTCTGAAATGCTCTCTTCCCCTTGTCTACAAAGGTATCTAAACAACTAGCAGGAACTTTAGATGGATAAAGTTAGGTGAGATGAATGCTCATAAAGTTGTAATGTGAAAGGTGTGTCCACATTGCATGGCAGGGTCCTTTTTTCTTTCTGGTGGTTTGAATTAATGCTCCCAAAGCTCTGAATTTTGTCTGCTTAATTTTTAGTGTGTGGTCTGCTATTAAATTTGACACACACACCCACTTCAATGTTGATAGGCTCTGAAACTGCACTCATTGTTAAGGCATAAACTTTCACTCACTGAATTGTTGTTTCTAGAAAAAAAATCATAAAAATACTAAGCAAAAATAATAAACTTGTCCAAAACTTCATGAATCCACTACCCATACACACATGCAAACCTATCTATTTTCTCTTAACCCAGTACTTCTAAGCAAGAAGTTTCCTTTGTAAGATTTATCTTCAGTAACAAAAAGGCAGCTATATGTTCCCTAAGGATAAATGATGCAAATCTCATAATTCAAAATGAGTCTATAATTATAGTTAGCAGGCTAGAGAGCTTTTATAATTTGATTTCAGTGAATTGGCATTTCCTACCTGCATGAAATGGTATTCATAAAAGCATTGCAAACTTTTAGGAATGCTAAGTGAACACAACTTTCTCAGGTGCCTCTGAAGGAAGATCAACACTTTTGTTCTTGAAATCCCTCTTGGGAGCTGAGATGCAGTTTGGCATCATTAAGCACTTGCAAGTATTATTTTCTGGCAGTTGGGATTTCTTTAAGTGCTTAAAAATATTAAAATATCAGGCAACAGATTTTCAAGGATGTTTATTGCAACTGAAGAATAAAATATGTATAGGCTTGTACACCAAATACGATGCTACCTGATTTAGCTTTATATTGCATCTCTGGACTATACAGTTACATCCTGTACATTTTGAGTAAAACATATTTGATACCTCGTGGGCAGTAGAAGTCAATTCTATGTGCTAGAAGTAATGTGCAAATAAGTCTTTAGCTGATTCAGTAATAACTACATAGAGACCCCGAACCCTGGAATAACAACTCTTAGATGTAATACTGAAGAGTAAATATAGAATTAGAAACAGAAAATATTTTAAGAAAATAGTAAAATAGACACCTTTCTCAGTATTGTGGAAAATTAGTCATGTTGGCTTTTTAAAAGAATATTTCAATCCTTATTGCATTCTTATTTCTCCCAGCCACAGTCTGAATTTATAGTCCTTACTCATTCAAAATCCCATGGATTCTAAATACTTTCATCTAAGAAAAAGAGGGCAAATTTCCTATGACAAAAAAGGCTTTCAGGCCCCAGTGAAACAGAAGAGGTTTAAAAAGGAGAAGCTTTAAAATGGAGATGTTAAGTCTCCTTTCTGCATCATATTGCAAATACTTGAATTACAAATTTTCAGTTTTACTTCTAAGTTCCAAAACTATAAGTTTGAGAGAAACTAACAGTAGAAGGGTAACAATAGTGTGCCTAAGCCAGTTTCTCAAGACAAATTCATTTAGCAACTCTACCTCCCACATGATGCCAGTTATCTTTTGCAGGTAATACTACAATTAATACTCTGACCATTTTGCAAAGATAAATTAGTGGTCATAAGCACCTACTCTTTACAGACCTGCAAGTGAAAAATGTGAGACAGAAATACTTGAAGAGGCACTCTTGTGTTCTTTATAATTGTGTCATTGGAAAGAGCAGCAGATTGCTAATATGAAATTCCTTATTTTATGTGGAACCATGTACAAGCTATGCATATACATATATATGTATATATGTGTGAAGTTTTATGAAGCACGGAATTATCAGAAATTACTTAGAATAAGAAACATGGTTATTGGAGCCCTAACTTTAAGTATGCTCTGAATCCATACAGAAATGGCTATTATTTCACATTTTTATGTGCCTTTATCTATGCTTTTTTATTCCTGGCAAAAAGTTGATCTGTTATTTTGCAGAAAGATAGTAGTCAGCTTCTACCTTCCTAGCAGGTCAACCTGAGAATTTTAAATTAATATCTTGTTATTAAAGTTTATTTATAATTAAGTCTCAGGCAGGGAAAGGTGTTTGGTTTTTGTTGTTTCATTTTCAATAAGAAAAGATAACATAGTTCAGTGTTTGCATTATGTAACAGGTTCTTCAGAACTTACCGAGAACTGTTCAAAGTGGAAAGACAAGGGTAAACAATCATCAGTTACACAGTTTACCAACTGTAATTTGGCATTCAGTTTGATAAAGTAGTTTTCCACAGTGCAGAGCATTTCATCAATATTCACTCCACATTGAGAGAAGTCTTATCTATATCTCTAATAGAATAGGAGTCCTATTCCTAAATTTAAATTTCTGCTGCAGTAAGTTTTTATTCAGATACAGAATATATCACTTTTATTACTAACTAGCACATGGACAGATTCTAATCTAATCACACACCATATTGAAAAGTTCTTTCTGGACCTTTGAAATTGAAATGTATCTCGGCATACTTGTATTCATATTATAAAATGAGTCTCACAGATTTGGGAGAAGTAGAGACCCTACATATTGTTATACCATCTCCTATTTGCATTTCATTAAGACATGTCAGGTAATGACATTGCGATGTAGTTAACCTCAGACAGGTGGCAAGCTACATCATGTGAAAGAGTTGCAAAAACACTTTGAAAATAATCAAGTCACCCTGTCTTGATGCTGCAGTATGCAATGACACTGCATCCTTTCCACTGAGCATCATTCATAGCATATTGATTCATCATCACAACATGACATTATAACATCTTTTACTTTCTCACTTACCCTTTCCCAACTGCAGAAAAGAGCAGAAGAGGATATTCTCCACCTTACTGGTTTTAAACACCTGCAGTTTTCACATTTTAGCAGGCATAATTATAAGTAAACATGAGTCACAGAGACTTATACGTTAATGAATGAGTTTGCTTTTGCACTTTTTGCTTGTATCAGGCAGCGGTGAGAAGTAAGTATATTTCCTACATTATTAATGCTGTACACTCCAAAACAGAAAGAATAAATTCATTAGTTCATGCGAAGAACACTATGGGGCCCATGAGCTACAGGACCTGATTGTTGTGTGAAAATAGATCAGCAGCTCCAGAGGCGTAGCTTTTCTATACTTTTGTATTTGTAACTGTGAGTGCTTTCAAATCAAGATACTGTTAGTGAATCTTAAAAAATATAGCCAGTGATTAAAGACAACTGCACAGAGGACCAAGCTGTTATTACTAGAAATATTTGGATCATAGCTTACCACTGATTTTAATGCAGAATTTGATTGATTCAGTGAGGGTTCTGCAAGCCATGATCTGTCTTGTGCAACAACAGAAGAAAAAGAGGATCACTGCTGGGAAATGACAGTCTGTTAATCCAGATTTCTGCCGTACATTCCACTTACTAACCCCTCAAGTAAACTGTCATAGTTTGAGCCTGAGTTTTGTTATACCCATGTTTATAACAATTCTAAGCTGCTGCACCATGTAGTATGTAGTTATCTTAACTTTCAGTCTGCTCAATGTATTAAAGAAATTTGTTCAGAGCTTTTAGATGCTGAAGCCAGTATACATGTATTAAGAATACAAAATACTTAGCAGTCTTGTTGGTTAGCTGGTACGTAGGATGACAGCTAAAACAAAAGAGGAGTTGGGGTTTTTCAGTATGTGAATTTAGCAGTAGCAGGGTTGAAGCAAAATACTAATGTCCCCATTTTCTTTCTCTTACTTTCAAGGAATCACTACAGTTCTAACAATGACCACTTTAAGCATCAGTGCACGGCATTCTTTGCCCAAGGTGTCCTATGCTACCGCCATGGATTGGTTCATAGCTGTGTGCTTTGCCTTTGTCTTCTCTGCACTTATTGAGTTTGCAGCTGTCAACTACTTTACCAATCTTCAGACTCAGAGAGCAATGAGGAAGGCAGCCAGGGCAGCAGCACTGGCAGCAGCACTATCAGCAGCAACTGTACCGGCAGAGGACGAGATTGTCTCGGTAATTGCTTGCTTTTCTGATAATAAGCATCATATAGGAAGAGGCAGCTGAAGTAGTGAATGCAAAACAATATTAAAGTGATCTTAACCTGAAACAGTTTATATAAACAGATCATGTCTATTTATCAAAGACATTGTTCTTTTTTCAGAAAATTGAAAGACTTCATTTATTCATACTGTTTAGTGAAACTTGAGATATGATTTACTAGAGAGATGTTATTTGGTAAGATATTTAAGGAAAGCCATTAGACTGTTACCCATAATATTTCTCTTGAGCAATGCTGTAGGCAGTGTGGTCAGGCAGCTGTGGTTCTCTCAGTAGGTCTGCAGAGTTTGTAGGACACTGTACAATGGCATGAACATGTGCGTTGGCCAGATGATTATGGGATCACTGTAGTACACTGGTACATACCATAAATGGGTCATCTGGAAGAAGAGGAATTAGCCTTTACATAAACTTGGCATCTGTTACTTTCATAAAAATCTGTGTTGGTGGAAGCTTGGGGAAAAAAACATAAATGTAAAGATTAAGGATAAATTTTAGTATATGCAAAAGAGAGGAAGGCTATCTAGTATCAAAAAAAAAATGTCAGAATTGCTTGTAAATATTATTCCTTGCATCGCAGGCTAAGTAATGAATGCTGTCTCACAACATATGTTAATATATTTATCACTAGAGCCTTCCTGTTTTCAACATCAGTTTTACTACCATCAGTTTTCCTATTCTGAGAGGAATAAGTATTTGAATGATCTTCTGCAAAACCTTTTAACTGTAGTTGAATAAGGAAGTCAATCTAAGAGCTACTGAATATCAGGGCAAGATCTTACCCACCATATAGTAATTTTCCCACATTCGCTTGTAAACACCAGTTAAAGTTATAACATTTAGGCACATTCAAACCATTAAATTCATAATTGATAAGTTCCATATAAAATCAAAAGCTCCACAGCATCTTGCTACTGGTCCTCATTGGAGCTAATTAACAAAGTTCTTCACTTCAACTGGGAAGCATTGTGTTTATAAGCCACATTGTACTTTGCTTACAATTTTATTAATATTGAAAAAAAAATGAAGACATTGTAAAATATAATGAAATACAGAAATGCATTTTGTTGTCACTAAATATATAAATGCAAAAAGAAGCAAATCTTCATGCATTTTAAGTCAGAACCACAGCTTTTTTGTTTGTTTTTTAGACTACAGTTATATAAAGAAAACACAAAAGAAAGTCCAAAAAATTTAAAAGGAGCCTGGAAGCAAATGTCAGTAGAATCTGGCACCGATTTTAAAGTGACAGCAGAAAGGCTGATTTCGTTTTGGCAATATTTGCAAAGTTCATATCTACATTTACTTTAACTAGTAAACTTTTATACTTATATTTAAAACTTACAAAAAACAATGAGAGAAAAAGAGAGCATGCATTTGCCAATATTTAGGGAATATTTCTCCCCTGCCTAATATCTTGATATTTGACTGAGAAGTAGTCTGGACTGAATGAGCAGAACATTGCAATGGTAAAATAAGGTAAGATAAGAAAAATACTGTTAAGACTGAAGGAACTTTAAAATGTACTAAAGCTTCATTTTTGTTCTTTTGTTGATTTTTTTTGAGGGCAAGTTGGCAAAAAAGAAGTTAGAGAGATCACTTCGCTTTATGTAGCATGAGGAAAATATTGATAGCTGTTATATAATGAAGAGGAACAACAGTTCTGATCTTTCCTACACACACTTCCTCATTCAAGTTTGAGTTAATCATAGGGAGATTTCCAAGAAAGGAAGAAAAAAAAAACCCTACTTTTTTAAATTTTTTTAAGTCCCTGCTGAGTGACATGAAAACAGTTTGGCCTACTCTGCACATGCTACTGCTGGTGAATTCAGAGCAGATGCTACAAAGCCACTGCCACCCCTCCCACCCCCCCATCTCAATCTCTAGAAGGTAACCGTTTCAAAAAATTACCCTCTACATGTGCTCAGATATACTAGAACATACTCCTGATGATTGTCGCTCCTCCAGTACTTGTGGGTGAGATTTACATGGTCTCCGTATGATTGCAGACCAAGCTAAGCACAAATTACAAAATTGCTGTTGAACAAATTAATAAAAGAAAAGGGGATGAAAAGACTTCAAGTTTCTTATCAAGGGCTTCAGCCACAAACAAGCACTGAGCCAAACTGAAGACCTTCCTCATTTGTAAATACTTACTTGTTAGATTTTCCAAGTAAAAACAAGCAAAAAATAAGCATCTAGGAGTAAAATAAACATCCAGGAAGCACGCTGCAACCATTTCCTCAAGAAAACTATTTACAACTAGCTAACAACATAGAGATTTAGAAGAGTAGTAAACCCCATACCATCAAGGTCCCAAGGTAAACTCAGTCTCTAAAACATCGCATAGTGTCCACAAAATTCTGTACTCCTGATCTTGCTCAAAGCACATATTGTCCAAGACAGTAGATTTCAAGCGCTGCAAGTACACCACTTTTTTCTCACAGGACTAGTTCTCTATGAGAACCCACCTCTGCAGTAATAGAAAAAGCAAAATCAATGAGATCATAAAAATGCAGGGTACTTACAATGGAAGGAGAGATGATGTAGTCAAAATGGCTTCTACAAGAATTAACGACTGGAATTAAAAAGTACCATTCCAGAAAGGCATGCTGGGAAAAAGGAGTGATTACAGAATAACACATTTTAAGAAGGTGGGGTTTTTTCTTTCTTTCTTTGTGTAGTGAAGGTAAGGGGGAAAGAACTTCTGTATGTTGTCACATAGATCACAGAATCATTAAGGTTGTAAAAGACCTTTAAGATCATCAAGTCCAACCATCAGCCAACACCACCACGCCCCCTAAACCATGTCCCAAAGTGCCACGTCCACATGTTTTTTGAACACTTCCAGTGATGGTGACTCTATCACCTCCCTGGGCAGCATGTTCCAATGCTTGACCACTCTCTCTGTAAAGAAATTTTTCCTAATGTCTAATCTAAACCTTCCCTGGCGCAACTCGAGGCCATTTCCTCCTTTCCTAATGGAGGTATTGCAGCCAGTGATGTAATTCCAGCTGAAACAGTCCTGAACTAGCTAATTTGAATGTTAACAATGTAGTTAGCACAGGCTGATTGCGTGAGTATATGACCATTTCCTCAGGATTATCATCCTCTGCTGAGCTTTGTACTTCTATAGCTACATTACTGATCTTAAGATAGTTATGTTTAAATAAGGCACACAGTGTAATATGCAGTTTCTTTCTTATTGTAGGTTTAGGATCTGTTTCTGAGGTCTTGATTTGTCCTTTGTTGCCCCATACCCCCAGCTTCTTCTATTTGTTTGCCTCTAAACTCCTTCATCGCGTTTATTTCCAGATTTTTCTTTTTTTGGTTGCTACAATTCTTAGTCTTTAGCCCTTGAATAGTTTATCTTACTTCCTCTGCTCTTTTTTTGCCTTTTCTCCCCGTTTACTCCACCTGCCTTCTTAAAATGTTGTTTTCTAATTCACTAGAAAAAAAATCTGAATTCATGTCTTATACATTAAAATGCTTTCTAACTGTGTACTTTATTTGATTTTAAAAAAATAATTAAAATCAAATACCTTGGGTTTTGGTACATTCTCTTTTCTAATCTGTGATTTTTTTTTTTCATTTCTTTTTGCTCTTTTAGAAAGGATAGTAAAGTTTTTCATCCACTTGTAATGCGCATATTTTTACTTGTGATTTTTAAGTGCATGGAAGTTGTCAGAATTTTAGCTATATAAAAGGACAGGTATAGGATGAAGAGTGTAGTGTGTTAAAAAATGCTTACTGTCTTGTGCATTTATAGAAGAAGTCAGATTGTATTTTTACATTGAGAAAATTTCTGAAGAAATTGTAAATTTGTAAAGATTTACTTAGTTTTGGGGTGTCCATTTGTAAAGATAAAAGTGAAAAAGTGAGATGTGCTTACTTGAAAATTTTCTTGGCTATACAGCTGCCAATGGAATTCTGCTACCAGTAGCAACATTAAGGGTAACAACAGACTACAGACTATATGTTTTAATAATCTACTGTCTTAAATTGCCTGAAGAGTGGCTAAAGAACATTGTGGTCAGAATAACCTTAGGCTGTCTGAACCAGTCCTTTCTGTATGAGAGGAGACCCATTCTCCTGCTCTGTGTGTGAGAAGCCTGGGGAGACAGTTTTGGTATAAATGAAAATTCAAAGGAGTTATGAAACAGCCAGTTAGAAGCTTTTGCTGCTTGAGTGATGGCCTAAACTCATCAAGATAAATGTATTTACAGAATATATTCAGGGTTTTTTGAATTTCAAATTAAATATTTTTCCTGGAAAAAAATATCAAAAATCTTTCAAAATACTATCAAAAAGCCACCTTTTCCCTTCAGCCTTGTTAATTTTGTTTAAAATTTTCCTGTATTCAAATGAACAAAACTTCTTATCACCGTTTTTATATTGTAGCCAAAAAACCTGCACACTCAGAAAAGAAAGATGGCAGAAGATCAAATTCTGCTCTACTCTACTAATGAAAGTAGGAGAAAATCTGCTCAAGTCCTTGGACTACACTGGTTTCAGTAAGAGAGACAGTGGTCTGACTATGTGCTCAGTTAACTGATGACAGACCAGCATGCCTGTTCTGGTTCCAGGAAAGCCACTCTATTTACCTCAGTTAACAGAGAGCAGAATTTGGCTTGCTCTCTTTGTCAGCTGTAGGCAATCCCTGCGTGAAATACAAAACTATGGGTGTTTCACTCCAAAATACAATGGCAACAAGCTGAGTAGTCATCTGGACCCTGACAGAAACCTGTTTTTATTCATATGGTGACCAAGTTTGTTCTAGTGTGTAAAAAACAAATACTATATATTATATACATATATAAAAAAATTATGGAATTAAGCTTTTTAATCAATTTCAAATGTGTATTTTTTATATCAATCGTATTGTTTCATCAATATGGCATCCTTCATCCAGAAATACCCCAATACTGGAAGTAGCAGGGGAAAGGGAACTTGTG